CGCTGAGGAGCATGATCTTTCAAATGTGGTAGTTCAGAGTGACTATGATGAGGGAAACACAGAAGAGCTCACAGAAACCGAAGAAGGAGAAGAAGATGACTATGAAGATCTTGATCTGTCTGGTTTCGATCAAGTTGACATTTCGACGTACTTTACCGGACCTGAGCACCCGTTGTCGAATGAAGAACTCGATGAATTGTTCAAGTGTATCAATGATGGTATCAATCCAACACCTGAGATATGGGAGAAAGTTGTGAATCAAGAAACTGAGCCTTCGGTTACCGTTCAAGAGGCTGATTCAACTCAAATGGGCACATCTTCAGGGATTCCTCCCCTCGGTGATGTTGTTCCTACATCTGAGCCAACTTCAAGTAACACCCAGACAAACCTGACCACCCAGCCCCCGATTAAAAGTCGCAGATTAGATCCAATGGTGGGTGTTCTATTTTCTGACCAAACTCAAACCACAGTGACTCCTCCATCTACAGTTGTTGCCCCATCATCATCCATGCCTACTCATGAAGGTCCCAGCTCCATTCATGAAGCTGGTGGTTCGTCTGCCAATCAGGGCTCATCTCCTCCAAGGCCTTATCATGATGATGTCTCTGAGAGACTAGCCATGTATTTAGCTCAACAACTAAATCCAACCCACTCCTCTCGCGGAAAAGGAATATCTTTTGAGGAGGGTATATCCGGAAATTATGATGCCACTGTGTCTGAATTGAGAAAAGAGATAGGTGTGCTGAATCAGAAACTCATAGAAAAGGACCTTGTGATTAGTCAACACGAGTCTCGTATTGCTGATCTTGAGGCCACAAACATGCAGCTTATCTCTCGAGTCGATGATCTTGAAGCAGACAAGTCACTGAAGACTAACAAACTTTCAAGTCTTGAAACTCACCTTGGAGCCCTGTCAGCATGCTACTATGACTTGAAACTAAAGCTGACTGAGGAACTTGGTGATAAATTTAAGTCTTCAGTGGAAATCCTTCGCGTAGAGCAGCCATCTCAAGCCCCTCCTGGTGATTCCTCCACTCCAAGAACAACTCAAATTGTTGATCGTTTTGATAAAGAGCCAGTTCAAGCTCCACACATCATCTCTATCAAGAAGAAAAAGCTAAGAGAAGCCTCCAAGAAGAAACAAATGATGTTTAAAAGGAGTTCAGATCAGAATGCTCCTTCAAATCGGCCAAAGATCACTCTCACTGATCTTGAGAAGAAGAGATTTGGAACTACTTATGGAGACAGATCAGGAATTGTATCTTGGGCTTTTCATGACAGACTTAATCTGTGGGTGGTGAAACGAAAGAGCAATCAAATCGAATACTACCAGGACACTCATGATTTTGAATCATGGACTAGGGTAGATCTTACTCAACTTTCAAGGGCTCCTTTTGCAAATCCATGAAATGACCCTAAAGCTTCACACTTCCAGCTCTTCCTAGAAGACCATGTTAAGAAGGGTTTTCCAATCATGAAGATTGCTGAGTCGTTTATCAAGCAATATCCTGATGTGATTGATCAAAAGACCAACTTACCCTTCAGGAACGTGATGTGGCCACCCACCAAACAATTGAGGCAGGTTCCTGTTCTTCAAAACTTTCAAGATAGATCTCTTGAGAAGATGTTGTGCTGGATTTATGATGAAACAACAGCAACCGCGGTCATCAACTTTCCAAACGGCTCCTTTCGTTTGTTTGATAAAAATGATTTGCTCTAATTTGGGAAATGGGACATTCATCACTTATCTTTGTTTCAAATCAAGGTAGATGAGGAGATCTTTGAGTGTGCTACAAAAGAATATACTTCAAAGGTTGCTGAGATCATTGAGAAAGAAATTTGGAGTGGGGCGATGGACGGGAAGGATGTGCTGATTGTTGATAAAGACTAATTCATGCTAGCCTCAAACCAAGGGGGAGATTGAAGGGCCATTATTTATGGTTTGGGCTAGGCATCCATGTATAGATGAATTAGGGATTTTGACAATGTATTTTGGAGTCGTTTGTGTTTATTTGAGGTTTTCGGTCTAGACATATGGAGTGACCGAAAACCAGTTTTCGGTCTGCCTGACCGAAAACTGTTTTCGGTCCAGGTTAGTATAAATAGTGTGTCAGGTGTCATTTAGTTTGTTGTTGACGAAAAGATAGTTTTCGGTCCGTTGAGTTGTATCTGACAATTCTAAGTTTGAATTGTATGCAAGCTCAAGTTTGATTCATCTTCTACTCCATTTCTTGTTTGATTTTGTATGCTTGATTGATCATTGGCTTAGATCCTACAGATTTTAGGGACTAACACGATGCAAAGGATTGATTTTGAGATTACTCCATTAATCCGTGCGTAAAGGCTAGAACTGTCGCAAAAAATCTTTTGGAGGTATCTTCACAAATTAACTTTCTTGTAATGCCAATTTGGTCCTAGGCTTTGAACTTTTTCTTGTTGGGGAGTTATGGACGAATTTTTAAGGATTAGTCCCTAGACATTGAACTTTATCCTATCTTTCCTAACCTTAGATACCTTCACAAATTAAGTTTCTTTTAATACCAATTTAGCCCCCTTCATTACTTCACAAATTATATACTATTGTTTTATATTTAGGGGTGCTCAATTTGACAATAAAAATAATGTTGACAGAAAACCTATTATAGTCTTCTGACCCATGATAAGAGAATAAAAAAATGACTCATATTTTAAAATTATAAAAAATAGGAAAGTATAAACGATTAAAAATAATCTACGTATTTTTAAAAAAAAAATATTTTTTGTGGTTTATGCTTTTGAAATTATTTTCTAAGTTAATAAAAATGATAGTCAGTTTTTCAAAAATCATATAAATTAATAGTAGTCATTATTGTGAATATCGATTTTTATATGTACATTATATTTATAGTTCAATTTCAATTTATATAACGCTTTAAGTTTTTTTATTCTTAAACATTAGTCATTTGGATAAAAACGATGATAACTAATAGTTATTATTGTGCATTTGTATTAAGTTGTATGCTGAAATCAGTTGAATGAAAAGTCGATAACACATTACAAAAGAAAAAATTACCACTAACCAGCTAAAAAGATATATAAAGGATAGATAAAGAGTGATTTGTATATAACTATTTATGTTTTAAATATTGGTATTTACGTTTTAAATATTTGTATTGCACAACTTAATAAAACATAAATAGTTTGTCTATATGGAAAAGTTACCATGTAAGGATCTCTACCCATCGATAGATATCATTTATTTTTATAAAGCTTAAATTGACTATTTTAACAAAAATTAACAAAGGTGTTCCACAAAATATTTAACTTATTATTTTTTTTGACAAAAAAATAATTAAAAATGAAAAGTAATTAAGATGCTATATCTTTTATCTATTAATAAATTCTAATCTTATTATTTTTTTATCACAATCAATCCAAACATCAACAAAGATTTCATTGTTGTTTCAAAAAAAAGATCAAAGATATTTAATATTTAATTTCTAACCCAAAATTTCTTCTAAATCAATAAAATGAAAGGGTATATGGAAGTCCATCTACCCAAACAAAATAAAATACGTAATTTTATATAGTTAGAAACATTGAACAAATTAAATTACATTCAATTATTCAATTTCCTATGAACCAAATGCATGAAAGATTACAAAATTGAAGTTATTAATTCTTTAACTATCAATGTCCTCAACAGCTAAGAGCTCTCAAGTCTCAAATAATCAACTAATATAATTTTTAAACCTCCTCAGAGTAACACATGTAAATAAAAGAACACATATGTGTTGAAAATGGGGTGTGATCTAAATAAAACAACACGTATACTTTATACATCAAGATTATACAAGTAATAACTACCAATTTCGATAAAACTAATAATTTATTGTGAAATAAAACTAAAATTTGCAAAATATTATTATCTTTAATATATAAAGTACAAATCTATCAAGACCAAGAAAACTACAACCATGATTGCACAACCTTCACGACCCATTCCTCTTTCGTATCTAAAACAGACGTAACCATTAATAGCATTGTAATTTGTGTATATGGTAGAATATAAACATAAACTTTTGAAAATAAAATAATAAAAAAGTCAATTGCTACTTACACAATCTTTATTTCTGCCACTTCAAAACTATTTATAGAGTTCAGCTTAGCAAGCTATATAGATTGGAGTGATTACTTTAAGGATCATGGCCACATAGTAGTTTATATACATAGTTGATGTGTACATTAAGAAGTGAAACTTATTCCACTTAAAAATTCAAGAAAGAAGCAATATGCTTTATATAATTGTATAGATGTATAGATATAGATATGGATATAGATGTATAGAAGTATAGATATAGATAACACAAATATCAAAGTTTAATTCGATATACATCAAAAACTTTTAAAGCTTTATTGAATATACATTATGAAGTATAACGCATTATTTGCTCCCACACACATTCTGTATTCGGATTCATTTCAGTCATGATTGAATAAATCAACTTACACATTTTCTTCAAGTTCTTTACCTTCATTGTTAGAGTCACAAATAATGCTTTTAACTTTCTCATAACGTTCATAACTAAAACACCCATTATCAACCTCGCTTAATAGATCAATAAGCAATATTTCTTTCCAATCTTTTGAAAACCCCTTACACAACCCACTCAAAACAACCAAATTAGGCCCAATAGGCCTCTCTAACATCTCTTTAAAAACACCAAAAGCACCATCATAATCATCCGTTTGCAAGAATGATAAATCAACATCTTCACAGTATCTTCATTTGGACGACAATTACTTTTCACTATGATTTTGTAAAGTTGAAAACTACGATCTGGGCTCTTTCGAGGACATTGGGCTTTATTTAGGGCAGAAAATGTTGAAGAATTTGGTACTAATTTCTTTTTTATCAAGTTCTTTAACCAAATAAGCAACTTTCTTGGTTTTTCCTTCGTTACAACGTCCCAACAACAATGCGTTATAAGTCAAAATATCAGGTTTGACCCCGGTTCTTATCATTTTTTCAAAATCTGATTACCCTTTTCGATTTTACCTGATTGGGAACATGTAGTGATTAATGTGTTGTAAGTTACAGTATTAGGATCCACATTTAACCTTTTCATTTCATGGAAAACTTTAAAAGCATCATGTAGTTTGCCTTCTTTACAGAATCCATGTATTATTGTGTTGTAAGTTATGGCATTTGGGCTGATTCCATTCTTCTCCATTGTAAGTTTCAACTTGATTGCGGTTGTTAAAAGGCCTTGGTTGATGTATGCAGTGATCAATGTATTATAGGAGGAGACAAAAGGGTTCATTCCCATACATTGCATTTCATCGAACACTTGGACTGCATTCTCTAGTTTCCCTAATTGAACATAAGCATTCATCACCATGTTGAGAGTGAACACATTGATTGTGATCTTGGATCTTCTCATTTGGTTGTAAAATGGTATCGCGATGTCTGCTCGATTGAAACTAAGCAGTGAACTCATATACATGTTACATGATTCAATGGTGGGAAGAAATCCGTATTCCTTCATACGACAAAATGTATATGTTGCATTCCTGAGCTGCTTCATCTGTGCATACATTTTGAAAAAGGCATCGAAAACACGAGGAGTGGAATCACACATTCGATAAGAGTGAAGAACAGCATCGAAGAGCTTAGAATGGAGGTTTACGTCACAAGAACAAGAAACGATGATCTTCTTTAAAATGGATTCAACTGACACAAATTTACGATTCTTGGTGAGGATATGGAGGATGATGGAATTTGTTTCGAGGGTGAGTAAACTAGGGTTGTGAAGCTCAATCCATTTGAAGAATTTTAGGGAAATGACGTAGTCGTTTTGAAGCTTTAACAGAATGTGCTTCAATCGTAATGAATTAGATTTGGTTAATAATTTATCTAGCTTAGCCCAATCAGAGTGAAGAAGATGACTGTAAGCTATGTTGATGTAATCAAGATCTTAACCTTTGGGTTCAAGGATAGTTCTATGGGGGTAATGCAATAGGACTCCATTTACTTCTAAGGAGAGTAGAATTACGGTTTTTCATGGCTGAATCAAGCAGAGTTGAAATAGGATTTTAATATATATATATATATTTCTAATGGTAAAAAAAACGGAGAAATAAAATGAAATAATAATAATTTTGAACCTGCAAAACTTAAGCCAGCCTCTTTACAAGCAACGACTGTCATCACCATGTGGGACCCATCAAGAGAGTGGACAAAGTGAGGAGGAAAGGCTGTTCTTTGTCTTTTCACCATTACCTTTTATAACAAAAAAAAGTTATTTTTCTTGCATTTAGCGTAATAAAGAAAAGGTTGCAGGTATAACCTTATCGGTTTCTCGTTGTAGTGTCAAAACTTGAAGATATGTCTTAATCTACACATTTCAAAAAAACAACAAAAAAGTCCTGGTTCATATTAGCAAAAAAGCCAAAATACAGGGAATTTACTTGACAATTTGACATACTAAAATAACTCACAAGATGTCTTCCTAATTTGCGGTATGGTTGAACAACAGGAAGCCCAAGAGGAGTTGTCCATTGTACTGGATTGTTTTTCACTACTATAACCTGTCAAAATTTATAAAATCAATAAACGTATTAATCTTATCTTATAAAAATATAAAATTTATACCTTTGCACAATCACCAAGCCAACTCATAATACTTCTTGCAGATTCATACATTGCTAAAAGAAAAAACACCATTAAAGGCTTGAGTTTCCTCCACCATTAAGCCACATATGAAACCTTAAAGGACTATTTTGAAGACCTTTTGGAGGGTTCAAAACATGGTCTTTTTATAGAAAAACATCACAAAAGAATCTATGAGAATTGGAGCAAAAGAAATCATGAACGAAGATACCAAAGAGAAAATAGAAAGACAATTATTCTACAATTCTAACTAATCCTTACTCACCAATTACCACATATATGAGAGTGTTCTTAACTATATTTTGACAGCCATCACCCATTAAAAACACACAAAACGTGGTTGGGGATTAATCACATAACATATCAAGGATTGGAAGTAAGAAGAATGAGATTGCTTGAATCCAATCACTAGCAATTGAAACATGAAATCAAAAGACGAGTTAAAGCAAGGAACTACCGGATTGTATGTGACGATTTCGCAACCTCAACACACCTTCAAGAATCAACACTTGTAGACCCTTCTTTCCCCTCCTCTCTTCTCAGTTCGTTCTTCCCTTCTCCACCCTACCTCGCCTTTTTTTTTTTCCTATGTTGCTGTCGAGCGATGCAAAGGATCAATTTTGAGATTACTCCATTAATCCATGCGTAAAGGCTAGAACAGTCGCAAAAAAACTTTTGGAGGTATCTTCAGAAATTAAGTTTCTTGTAATTCCAATTTGGTCCTAGGCTTTGAACTTTTTCTTGTTGGGGGGTTATGGACGAATTTTTATGGATTAGTCCCTAGACATTGAACTTTATCCTATCTTTCCTAACCTTAGATACCTTCACAAATTAAGTTTCTTTTAATGCCAATTTAGCCCCCTTCATTACTTCCCAAATTATATACTATTATTTTATATTTAGGGGTGCTCAATTTGACAATAAAAATAATGTTGACAGAAAACCTATTATAGTCTTCTGACCCATGATAAGAGAATAAAAAAATGACTCGTTTTTTGAAATTATAAAAAATAGGAAAGTATAAACGATTAAAAATAATCTACTTATTTTTAAAAAAAATATTTTTTGTGGTTTACGCTTTTGAAATTATTTTCTAAGTTAATAAAAATGATAGTCAGTTTTTCAAAAATCATATAAATTAATAGTAGTCATTATTGTGAATATCGATTTTTATATGTACATTATATTTATACTTCTATTTCAATTTATATAACGCTTTAAGTTTTTTTATTCTTAGACATTAGTCATTGAGATAAAAACGCTGATAACTAATAGTTATTATTGTGCATATGTATTATGTTGTATGTTGAAATCAATTGAATGAAAAGTCGATAACACATTACAAAAGAAAAAATTAACACTAACCAGCTAAAAAGATATATAATGGATAGGTAAAGAGTGATTTTTATATAACTATTTATCTTTTAAATATTGGTATTTACGTTTTAAATATTTGTATTGCACAACTTAATAAAACATAAATATTTTGTCTATAAGGAAAAGTTACCGTGTGAGGATCTCTACCCATCGATAGATATCATTTATTTTTATAAAGCTTAAATTGACTATTTTAATAAAATTAACAAAGGTGTTCCACAAAATATTTAACTTATTATTTTTTTTCTTTGACAAAAAAATAATTAAAAATGAAAAGTAATTAAGATGCTATATCTTTTATCTATTAATAAATTTTAATCTTATTATTTATTTATCACAATCAATCCAAACATCAACAAAGATTTCATTGTTGTTTCAAAAAAAAGATCAAAGATATTTAATATTTAATTTCTAACCCAAAATTTCTTCTAAATCAATAAAATGAAAGGGTAAATGGAAGTCCATCTACCCAAACAAAATAAAATACGTAATTTTATATAGTTAGAAACATTGAACAAATTAAATTACATTCAATTACTCAATATCCTATGAACCAAATGCATGAAAGATTACAAAATTGAAGTTACTAATTTTTTAACTATCAATATCCTGAACAGCTAAGAGCTCTCAAGTCTCAAATAATCAACTAATATAATTTTTAAACCTCCTCACAATAACACATATAAATAAAAGAACACATATGTGTTCAAAATGGGGGTGTGATCTATATAAAACAACACATATACTTTATACATCAAGATTATACAAGTAATAACTACCAATTTCGATAAAACTAATAATTTATTGTGAAATAAAACTAAAATTTGCAAAATATTATTATCTTTAATATATAGAGTACTAATCTATCAAGACCAAGAAAACTACAACAATGATTGCACAACCTTCACGACCCATTCCTCTTTCGTATCTAAAACAGACGTAACCATAAATAGCATTGTAATTTGTGTATATGGTAGAATATAAACATAAACTTTTGAAAATAAAATAATAATAAAGTCAATTGCTACTTACACAATCTTTATTTCTGCTACTTCAAAACTATTTATAGAGTTCAGCTTAGCAAGCTATATAGATTGGAGTGATTACTTTAAGGATCATGGCCACATAGTAGTTTATATACAAAGTTGATGTGTACATTAAGAAGTGAAACTTATGCCTCTTAAAAATTCAAGAAAGAAGCAATATGCTTTATATAATTGTATAGATGTATAGATATAGATATAGATATAGATGTATAGAAGTATATATATAGATAACATAAATATCAAAGTTTAATTCGATATACATCAAAAACTTTTAAAGCTTTATTGAATATACATTACGACGTATAACGCATTATTTTCTCCCACACACATTCTGTATTCGGATTCATTTTTGTCATGATTAAAAAAATCAACTTACACATTTTCTTCAAGTTCTTTACCTTCATTGTTAGAGTCACAAATAATGCTTTTAACTTTCTCATAACGTTCATAACTAAAACACCTATTATCAAGCTCGCTTACTAGATCCATAACCAATCTATATTTCCAAGCTTTTGAAAACCCTTTACACAACCCACTTAAAACAACCAAATCAGGCCCAATTGGTCTCTCTAACATCTCTTTAAAAACACAAAAAGCACCATCATAATCATGTTGGATTAATGTCTAAGTCCATAACTATATTTGGTATGTACTTGACCCGACCCGACATGGTCCATTTGGGTTGCATGAGATCGGGACATTTGGATAGACCTTTTATGAGATGAGGATATTTGTGACATATTTATATATTATAAGTTCTAATATATTAATATGAAATCATATTATTTAATTAGTATTGATCAAGAATTAATTTGGACTTAATTGAGTGATCAAAAAGAGACTAATTAAATATATGGGGATTGATTGTGTAAATCATTCCTTCTTATATATGTGGGCTTATGATCCATGATTTCGTATATTGGGTTTAACCCATGTGGTGACCCATGGATACTCCATGGAGGTTAAAACCCATGGAGCATAAGGAATAGGTAAATTCATGAGTTACATGGTGGAATCCTAATGTGCACACTATATAAGAACCTCTTCAGCTCAAGAAATTGGCACAAGTGCATGTTATGGAGGGCTAGCCGATTTGAGCATAAGAATCTTCTCTCATGGTTATTCCAAGATGTTCATGGTGTTGTGTAAACCGTTTGAGGTGTCACACTTGGGGAACTAGGCACTGAAGCCTAATGGAGTCAAGCTACATCAAGAGGTATGTATTCTGACTTCTTATATTACCCAAGTATATGATATTTGTACGCTAGTATAGGGTAATACCTTGGAAACTTCATATTTGCATGTATAATAGAGAAAACATAGATCCAAGGTATTCAGGGTTGTATGTGCACCATAGGATGTTGTAGTATACTAAAACCCAACAGTGGTATCAGAGCCATGGGTTGTTTTCTGTTATATTCATGCAAATGTTTGATTTTCAAAGTTGAAAAAAAGGAAGAAAAACATGATGTTTGTCAAATTTTAAGATAATTAATTGTTTTGTGAAAAACTAATTATTTGTAAAATTTGAATCATTTGCTATATGAGTTGAATTAGGTCAAATTTAGTAAAAGATAAAATGATATGATTATTTTGTTAGTTTTAAAAGTTTGATCTAAATGTTTTAAGGAGTTACAAATTTTGTCATAAAATTTTGGAGCTCAAAAGTTTTTTTTTTTTTAAGTTGTGATCTTAAGAGTTTTGAAACTTCCATAAGTTATGGATATGAAAGTTTTTTTAAAAAAAAAATTGATTCAAAGTTTTTATGGAGTTACAAAACTTGGTGCTAATGTTTTAAAGAATTCCATAACTTGTTCTTAAGTTGTGGAACATGAAAATTTTCATCATAAAACAAGCATTTAACTTCATAAGTTATGGAATCCAAAAGTTTTCAAGAGTTATAAAACTTGCCCTCAAGTTTTGGAATTTGAAAAAAGTTTTTTATGAAAAAAAAGAATTGAATTCTAAAACTCTTGGGTTCATAACTTAAACAATTAATTAAATGGTTTTAATTTTGAATTTAATAATTGGAATTATGATGTTTTGTTGAATAGTTCAAATTAACTCTTATGGACTGTAACGCCTCATTTTCCGGTATGTGTTTTATAAGTATTTTCTTTTCTTAAAGGGTACTCGACGAGTCTGTAGCCCGACTCGTCGAGTAGAGACGGGGGAATCACGCGTTTAAGTTGGTGACTCGGCGAGTCGTTATGCCGACTCGGTGAGTCCGTCTGTCTGGATGAAGCCCTAATTTTAAGGGTTTGCACCCTATTTAAACTCATTTATCCACCCCCAGCCTCGCCTCCATCACCCTCAGAGCATCTTTCATCAAACCCTAGCCCCCTTAAAGTGTTTATGAGTGTTTGTGACCTTGTGAAGGAATTTTGGAGCAAATAGAAGAAGGAGAAGGTTGAAGAGTCCAAGGAAGAGGAAATAGATCCAGAACACACTCAATTGTGGTCATCTTTTCTGGTAATAAAGTCTCCATCTTGCTTATTGATCTAGTAGATCTTGTTTGTCCCCAAATTGTGGCTTTTAAGCCCTAAAACCCCAAAACCCTTGTGATAAAGCCTTGTGATCGGGTTATACTTCAGATCTGGACTCTCATTG